TTCCTGCTGTTTTGTGCTCTCACCTCATCAGAGCAGTAGACACAACCTATCCCAGCCTGCAGACATTCTGAACAGGTCTTGTTACTGGAAGCGAAGCAGTAATTCACTGTTGGCAAGCAGAGGAGATCGGGAGGGCAGCATATCGGAGAAAGTCAGAGTCACAGAGAGGCATCAGAGTGAGAATCAAACCCATAAAACAATTAAAATAGCTGCGGTAACACTAAATATACTTATCACAACATCTTAATTTCTCCTGAGAGTGATCCAGAAGAAACCCATGATTACACTGAGCCACTTAGTATTTACCTAAGATGTCAAACTTTCCTTTTAAAACTAACAGAAAACTGTCAAAAATATGAAAAAACTATGAAAAAAGAAGAATTTATACCCAGCTATACTGTTTAGTTGACTACATGCACAACAAAGTCAATAAAGTACTAGTAGTGAAATCTGATTATTAGATGGATAACTCCGGACCTCCTCACCTTCAGCATAACAGCAGGTTAAGAGGCCGGCTACAAGCCCGAGCCCCACTGAGAGATGTAATGTCCATCTCCCCATCTTCTTCCTGCAACAGAAAAAATATATACGTATATTCACAACTAATCTAAACCCCACAGCTAAGAGACGGAGACTAGTCTCTGTAGACTAAGGTGTAACTTGAACCACCTGCGTTTTCCCTCGGTCAAGGCCCAGGGAACGTGAACAGGCCCTGACACTCCCCTTACCTTCACTTCAGTTTGTGAAAAGAGCTGCTACCAGAGTGTGATTTAAAACACAAAGGCAGCCTGTACTTTCAGAAAAATAACTACTGACCTACATTCAGTTTGAAAGGATCTGTTAACCAACATTACAAATTTTCTAATGTTTTAAGTGCCGCACACAAAATGCCATTGACCTCCATCATTTTTGGGTGGAGGCTGAACTCTAAAAGTCCTACTGTATATCTCAGAACCTGTGAAAATAAATGCAAGTCTATCTGCAGGACATGATTTTAATGTCATTTCTGGTCACAACAAAATTGGATCCTATTATGCACTTTGCACCTGGACATAGGCCGTTGTGCCTTTCATACCGTTTTAAAGTTAAATTTCAAACAGAGATCCTGTTAAGGCATGATAAAATCTAACAGAAGAATCCTAACAGGAAGAGACCAATGTAGGGTGGGGCCTGGAAATATTCCAGGCGGCATGCTACATAGACCCATCGCTATAAAACCACTTTATAATTTTATGCTGGAATCTTGGATGGAGAACAATCGGAAGCCATTAAAGCGATCTGCACTCAAGACAGGAGGTGGAGTATGAACAAAGGGCACTATGTGGCATGAAATGTGTTGGTAATTGTTGCAGTGGGCACATAACTGGGTCACAGTGCACAAAAATCATGATTTGTGCTCCGAAGATTTACAACTCCAAGAAGGAATTTCTACTTGAGGTGAGAAAATGACTTGTCCAAGTTAAAAACACAGCCTGAAAACACATGGGAAAAGCACCTTGGCACTTCGCTGTGAGCTTGAACAGGTGTGTGTGTGTGTGCATGTGAGTGGGAGTTCATGCCATGAGGCGTTACATAAATCACTAACCAGGATGGTTCAAGGAAAAAACAGAACAGACCACAATCAGTCATAGAATATGAGTAGAAGGAAAAGAACTTTGCATGGCACTCTTTCTCAGTCAAAATCCAGGGCACGCAGGCGTTTCTGACAAATTACAGCTTCTGAGAAAAACAGAATCATTCGTGATACTTTTCCTTTGATCTGAAAGACTCTGTGGCACAAAAAGAGGGGACATTTTTTCTGAGTTCAAAGCTGCAGACCTTGTCTGTGCAGACAACAACATGCCTTCCAGGTGAACATACCACTGCTGGGCGTGGGTCTGACCCCACCATGACATCATCAGGGGTCGTGGGGGCCTTTAGTAACAGGCTTGGGGGTCACGCTCAGGGTTGTGCCTTTGACAGCAGGCAAAATCTCATCAAAGCACACTTAAAAACTTCCAACCTTTGAAACTCTGCAGTCCAGCTTAAAAATCCAAGTAACAAAAAGCAAACTAAACCAGAATGGCTGCTCCAGTTTCTTTTACCTATGTTGCATTGTAGTCTGTGCTGTGATGTGGGCGATCACACAGAAAGGAGCGCCAAAATAAAACAAATAAATAGTAACCAACAAGCTAAAAAATTCTCCAGTGTTGCATGTAGGCATATGGTGAGAGATGAAGTTACACAGCTCAAAAGTCAAATATACAAATATGAAGAAGAATAATTAGTCAGCTAAATAATTAGCACAGCTCAGAAGAACACATTTAAAATGAAGGTCACTGAAAACAATGGAGCCATTAGGAAATTTATAACTTGACAGAAAAAGATTACTGATCAAACAAACCTCTTACTGTGCTCTCGCCCAGTCTGAGTCCAAAAGTCCAGCACTAAATAAGAAAACAACAAACTCCTTCTTGCTTTGTTTGACCCAAGAGTTTAAGGAAAGTTTGTATCCACCTGCGCTGAAAAACACTTCAAGTCCTTGTGTCCAAGTTCAAGGTTTCTCTTTTTTCTTTTGTTTCTTCTTTCCTGTGCAGTCCAGTCTGGTCAAATATTGACTTATTTGTGCTTAAATTCAGCTGACTGTGTGTGTGTGTGTGTGTGTGTGTGTGTGTGTGTGTGTCTCCTCGTGTGTGCAAGAGATTTTCAGCATGTGCGGAGGAGAGATATGAGAGACAGTGAGAGTCGGAGCGACTGAGTGAATTTGAGAGTGAGTGTTGTGACTTGATCCCTCTTTTAGCTTCTGTACACACACACCCATAGCCACACACACACACACACACACACACACACACACACACTCTACCTTCCCTCTCCAGGTGAGTAGCTGTGACGGAGAGGGTTAACTCCCTTCCTGTATCTCTGTATCTCTACCCCACCCTGCTACAAGTTAACAGCTCCACACCTCTATGTTTCAAGGCCCCCCTTCCTGCTGCATTCCACCCCAACAGGAGTTCACCTGTGTGGGCTTGACACTGGTGAGCCAGGCCCCTCCTTCCACAGCCTCCTCCCAAGCTCTTGGGAGCAGCACACAGAGCAGAACACTGCCTGTAGGCTATGGGAAACAGCTTTGTGATTCCTGTGTTTACACAACCGTGTGCTCATGCTTATGGGCACATTTTCTACTTGTCAAATATTTGATATGAACATTGAGGTTGCCACATATCTTTTTCTCCCTTTTCTGGAGGTAAAGTCACTTTCTCTGCTTTGCTACAGATGTAAAGTAGCAGTTCAGGAAACTGCATTCCTGAGCAGAGGGACCAGCACGGCACAGTGACCCTGACACTCAATCCCAGCGCTCACTGTGTTGAACTGCGTTTCCATGGCCATGTACAAAGGAGCTAACAAAGCCTGAGTAGACTAGACTGTAGAGACCATCCTACAACTAAAGTTCCACAGGCTTTAATATCCTCCAACCATTCAGAGCCCAGTGAGGCCTGTTTTTTTTTTACAACAAAACAGGTCATTTGTTATTCCCTTCTAAAAACCCTTATGACTTTACAAATGACTTGAGCGTTTGATGACCTGCTTAAGGTTCGACTAAGGTTAGGCAACTAAAACTACATGGCTGCCTTGTCATACTGGCTGCAGTCTCCCTATGCTTCCGTTCACCTTCTCCTTAAACCTGACTTTCTGGACACATGGTGGAAGGCACAACACCGACCTATAAAGTTGTTATAGAAGAGTGGCTAATTCTGAGATTCAACAGAGATGGGGCAACATTAGCAATAATTTAAAGATCTGTCACTAAAAGCCCAATATTCACTCCAATTTTACCTCTGTTTTGGGCTGCACCACCTTTTTTAAGGTATTTTGTGGGCATTATACCTTTATTATTATTTATATGAGGTAAGTAGTTTGCAGAGAGGCAGACAATAAACAGGGGAGAGGACCAACAAAATAGGTTGACAGCCGGACTCAAACCACTGATGTCACGCATGCGCTGTGCTCGCAATCAGGGTGGCCACACCGTAACCACTCTGCAGTCAAGGCCCCGCTGAGTTTAACTATGTTCTGAGAGAAATATCTGACTCTTCAGTTGCTAAATGCTCCAATGTGTTCACCAGCTAGTTGTTACCGCTGTCTGTCTGTTATTTGGTGCTAGTCAGAAGAGAAATGATCATTTAAAGAAATGAAACAAAATAAACTCATATCCAGCATTCCTTCTTTCATATCATTTGGTCATTTGTTTCAAAAGAACTTTGCTATCTTCGAAATCAATTGATAGTGATGGTGAATCATTTGTGGTTTCTCTGTGGAAACCTCCAAACAGATCTGAAACACTGTAAAGCTGGTTTGATATATATTTTGTTTCACATAAAATCATTGGGGGGGAACAGTTTGGATGGTTTTTGATCTTCTAATCACTTAACAAACCACTTTTTTACAATCATACATTTTTAAAAAACAGCTTTTTGGTCACTCTTCTTGAAATGAACTTGTCTTTGGTCAGGATTCACCAAACTGACTGATTTTATGAAAACACCTTTTCTAATAACCATTCACAGTAACTTTTACCCATTCCATTTTTTTGTTTGTTTGTTTTGTTTTGCGTTCTTGCTTGACAGCTACTGCTTCAACAGAATTTGATTAAGTAGTACAATAACATTTCAAAGAATGTAGTAGGAGTACCACATAGGGCCAGGTTCAGTGCAAGCAGTGTTATGTATTTCCCAAGAAAAGCCTTGGCTCCAGCAGACCACACACCAGGAGTTAGAGGTGACTCTCAGTCACTGCCACTGCACCTTATCACACCCTTATAACTGGATTCACACAGACCAGGTCCAATCCTGAATAATATCTAGGATATAAGGAACTGCCTCTTTTCCTCACCAGTGTACATACCACACTAGGCGGTCTGTCTGGGGACATAAAGGATGCACTGTCATTCCCCTAGCAACCAGATCTGGTTTGATACAGGGAGTTCCTTCTAAAACCTCTGGAGAAACAACTCTTCCCTGCTCTCTGGCTGTCTTGGCTGACACTTTGGCAGTGATTCCAGTCCAGACAGCACACATTCACATGTGGAGGGAGGAGATGGAAAGGTGTGGCCCACCTGTTTTTCTGATGCGTGCATGGGTTACCAGAGTGCAAGAAATAAAGCACTTCTCATGCTCGATTTGAGCCTTCGGTAAACACAGGTAATGACTCCCAGCAGCTACTATGAGCCATATATGTCTAGTATACTGTAAACGTGGAAAAAAGAATAAAATGTCCTGTATTTTCTAATTATATAGAATACACCAGTGGTTCCGACATCTGTGCATGGCAAGAATCCCTAGAGACTCTGGGTTTGTCTCTGAGTTACCTCCTTACTGTAACAAATAACCACTTTCAAGACTTTTGTTCTATCACCAACAAAACTGTTATCGCTAGGAGAAACCTTTTCTAATGCAGAAAGTGATTCAGTTGTTCACTCTGATGTGGACCACCACCTGCACACGCACACTGTGCACTACTACTACTACTGCTACCACTACTAATAAAGCCCCTTTTCCATGCAACATAATTTGCATGTCATTAACTACATTAGCATGCACGTTATGACCTAAGACGTTACTTACTGCGAACAAGATGCTGTTGTGGTGAACTGGACCCATCAGCGGAGCGCACGGAGCTGCGCCACCTCCACGGGCAGCTTGTTGGGAAACCACAACAATCCAAAAAGTTAGAAGTGCACAAGTCTTTGGACTCGGAGTGAAAGCCTGACAGGAATGGCTCCACTTTCAGCTCCCGTCTGAGCACCTAAAGCCGAGTCCAGCCTGTGTCCGACTCCTCGTCAATTTACATGACAAACACTGCGCCTTTTGCTTCACTGGGTTCATTCAGTGGGCATAATGGCATCTCCCCATACCCCCCCTCCCCCCACACCCGGTGCAGGATGTAGACCACAGCACAGAGGACCTTTCACTGCGAACAGTCCAGCAGAATAACTACAAAAACATACCTACTGTTAGATTCTAACCTCTTTTATTAGAAATTAACCCAATTCTTTTGTTGGAAGCACGAGAAGTGACGACAGGAGAGGGCTGTTTAAAATCAGCAGAAGGTTTACTGAATGTCTGATCACAGGTAGGCCTTACAGTGCTGGGATCAGAGAGACAGAGCTCCCGCAGGAGTTCCATCCTCTGACCCCGAATTAAGGTCTTACAATACATTTTATCTTCTTGGGCTGCTCTGCACTAAACAAAGGTACAACAATTCATGCATTGTAATCCTATTGGTCATTTGGTGAGCCGGAGCTCACACCTCCTTGCTGGAATGCAATCTACACCAGGTGTCTGTGTGTGATGCTAATTTGTATGTTAAACTGGCCAGGTGGTCATCTCAGGTTGTGGGCCCCCAGTCTCTGCAGGACATCCCAAGATAAAGCAGAACTTGGAATATGCTAAGTGGGTCTAGGTGTGGGTGCAAAACAAGCCAACTTGTCTTTGTTAAAATGTGAATTGGCTGTCTGGTCACAAAGAGATGCAGACATCTAGTCTCTACACAGAACTTACAGCATTCAAAGTAAGCAGATTCTGCTTCATTACAGCTGTAAGATATATAAGCAAGGGAAACAAATGTATTAAAATAACCAAAGCTCAGTAGTTCTGGACAATCATCAATACAGCTGTAATATGCATAAAGAAGTAAGATAAAGTTATGAAAGGTAACTAAAAGGAACTACAGGTATGAGAAGTAACTAAAGCTGATAAAGTAACTAGAGTCTATAAGACTCAAATCTTACACTACCCTATATTTACACGGAGACAAAATGGTATGCTAACTATTGATACCTTTAGTTATGATAATAAAATGTCAAAATGGTTATGAGGACGATGTAAAGTGCACTGATCAGTGTGCCCGTAGGCCTACTCTACACGGGCAGTCTGCTATGCTAACAACCTGTAGCTTATGATAACAAAAGAGTGAGGACAATAAGGCTAGGCTATGTTAAGTACTGTTGTACCTGGCCCTATGTGGTACTCCTACTACATTCTTTGAAATGTTATTGTACCACTTAATCAAATTCTGTATAGTATAATGTGTGTGTGTTAAAGGGTAAATTCTCTCGGTTCTTTTGACCAGGAACTCAGAGAGATGAGGTGAACCACTTGGATATAAAAAATAACCGTGCTGGTTTATTCAGAGGATCACAGGTAAAATTAACATTACACGTCCAGGCATCTTCCACCTCCAAACCTGCGCGCAGGCAGATGAAGCATGAAAGACCCTGAACCATAATGCCTATACAATATTATCACTTGGTTGGGATAGCCCCATACTACCCAGGAACGTCAAACCGTGACGTCACCTGATATGCCAGCTTTACAGCTGACCATAACAATAGTCAAAACATGAAGAAAATCAATGTGTGTGAATGTTGATTACGTGGTGTGTATCTAAGAACATTCTGACATGACATCTAGTGACATGTCATGACATTACACATAAGAAAATATTATGATTACAATTACGGTTGCACATATCATAATAATAACAATATCCTCCTGCCTGCAAACTTTTTCTATCTAGTTGTCCTTGGCCATATGCACCCTGCAAAAAACTAATGAGAATGACTAAGTATTTAACAGCCTGAGCTAGACATCCTGGCTCCACTAAACATTCCTAAGACAACAAATATCTAATCAATATCTATATGACTAAAGAATTACCTAACAGTGTGCAGAAGTGAATCATTTATTGCTTGCAAACCGATGATGGTAAGATGATGTCATGTAGGACTAGATAAGTCTGACTTCTTCCTACTCCATTCAAGCATGTACTAGGTATAAGCAAATTGATATTGGATTGTGTGTAAAAATGTGTGTTGTTATATCAACTGTTTTATATGCTTGAAAGAATAAATCAAATCAAATCAAGTACAAGATTACCAGTACAATGAACTTAGAAAACAGAACTGGAATATGTCGCATATCTTAATGTACACGTGCACCTCTTTCATCTCTTAATGTACACGTGCACCTCTTTCATCTCTTAATGTATACGTGCACCTCTTGCATCATCACATTTTTAGTTCAAGCTGCGTGACGACAGCGGATGGATGGAGGGTGGGATGAGGTGTCACCTGTCAGTACACGCTGTACACGCATTCCTCGTCTGTGCCCGAGGGCCCGTTTTCTCATAATCTGTACATGAAAACGCCTCCTAATCAGTTATTTGGGTTTACTATAGTGTTACAGTATAACTGTAACACTATAGTCCACCTACAGTACACATGCCTAAAATACAGGTTGATTTACTATATGCCTACTAATACTCTCTGTGTTCAAGCCCATACAGGTTCCCATTAAAGCAGCCCTAACTATGATGCTTCAGCTGTTACATCTTCATATGGTTGTATTTATTTATTAGTGGTTTCATAATTCCACATCAATGCAACCAATCAGGAATTACTAAGACATACAGAAAGTAAAGCTATTTTCTATAGACCAGTTCTTGATCCTGTATGTTACTGAGTAAATATGGTTAAGTCACTGGCTCACATTTCATTTCCTAATCCTTTCCCCACCCAGTGTTTATTCAGCAGTAAGTAAAAAGATTATTTCATTCAGGCCAAGCTGTCTCACCTGGAAAGTTGGCCTTAGTAAAATTGCGTTTTTTAAAAACATATTCTGCAGTGAGTGAAATCAAGTGTGAATGCCACCCAATATCAACATGCCACGTTTTTGGTACTTTAATCTTATTCCAGGCTCTGCAGAAGCATGCTGAGATGGAAGAACAGGGAGATTTGTTCATCTGCTGTACCAAATGCATGATGGCTTGTAGCCACATGATTCAACTGAGTGTCATAAATGACTCAGGTCTGTACCACTGTCCTCTGGAAAAAAGGTCCAGCATCAAATCTAGATCATACCGGAAATTTGAGCCACTTTTTGCAACCTTCTTCATCCTCAGAAGCTGCAATATGTTAAGATATTCAGAACAGAATACAATTTATTTAAACTTGAATCACATTTACACAGTATTTAAAAGTTTTTAAAAAACTAAGTAATAGAGTTCATTCTGGTGGGCTGAAGTCACAGCTGTATTGCCGACCATCTATCTTTTATGACAAGAACGCTGCTTGGAATGCTGGGATAGGTTAAGATGCACAACTGGAGCACAAAGAAGGCAATTTTACATATTTTCAGAGGTAGTTAAAAGACTGATCCCAACTTTGCTGCAACACCAAATCAGAAAAAGATACCTGAATCACACTGAATCACTTGGTGTCCTCGGTCCCAAATGTCATAAGTGTTGTGAAAAGGAACGGCAGCATCACACCGTGATAAAAGCTTTACTGTCCCAACTGTATTTGGAATGTGTTGCAGGCATCAGAACTGAATGAGTGTTTAGTTTGAAAAAAGAAAAAAAATTGATGAGGTATCATCAAATAAAGTGCTGCTGTATTGTTTTCGATGTGATACAGGAACAGGTGATTTACACATCACTGTTTTAATTTTGATTTTACATAATGTACCAGCTTTTTCTGATTTGGGGTTGCATCTTAGTGTAAAAGGTTATAAAAAATATTTGCAGGGTGCTATTTTTTTTGTAACCGTCTTCATTAGTTCTCAGGGAAACTGGGAATTTTGCCATAATCACAGACAACTTTGACCCCAGGCAGTGCTACAGAAGCACAGCAACCTCTTGACATGCCCCCAGGCAGTAGTCAGATATGGAGACTGAAGTGAAAAAGTCCAACTCCACCTGAACCACACATGCCTTCCTTGAAAGAAATTCTGTTTGTCAGTCAGCAAGAGACAGAGATTCTTCAGTCCAGTTTCAGGTCAGTGCCTGCACTCAATGCAGCTCGTTCCCAATCAAGAGCAGTATCCCTTCATTTGAACACAAACGTGTACAGCTTTGTTGAGAAACACCCAAATGTGAAGCAAGAGAAAATGGTTTGACCTCTCGTGGGCTGAAAACCAGAAGCCAACCTGTTTGAGTCCATGCACTGAAGAAGACAAACAAACCAACTGAAAAGGCAACATCTGATCCATTTATTTACCACATCTTCAATACATATGTACAAGAGTTAAAAAAAAAAAAACTTACTTCAGAGCTGAGAGAATATGTTATAAAGAAAAACTGTCAAGCAATTACACATGACGGCTCCAGGGGGGCATGAAAATACTGCACCAGAACAATGAACAGAATATTTCTAACAGGTCCGTGAGGGACTATTTTCCTTATTCAACCACCATTGTCATGTTCTTATTCTGTTTACCTCTTTAACAACTGTTGTCAATATATAAACAAATGAACAGCAAATGTTTCATCAGCATGAGATCTGCATAGTGCAGATACAAACCCAAAAAGAAAAGGCAGTGAAGTCTTTAAGTCCATGTGTAGTGGAGGGAATTTTTAGGCTGGTTCAAAAACATGTACACAAGTGTCCCTCAGGTCATTTGTCTTCTGTTGAATCTTTTCACATACAGAGGACACATGTCTTCATGTCAGTCACCGTTTGAACGACTCACTCTCAGAAACAAAGCTCACTGCTTTGCTTTCTTTAAGATGGTGCCTACTGCAGAGATGACAGTGGTCTTGGTGCCGCTCGCAGTGGTTGTCACCGAGACGACAGCAGGCAGGGTGGCGGTGGTAGTGATGAGGGTGGGCTGGGCCACGGTCACAGGGATCGCAGAGTCCCACTTGCTTTTCCTCTTCTGGGCCTCTGCTGAGGAGAAGAACCAGAGGGCGAATAAGTGAGGTGAGCACAGGACACAAATCACAACCAGCACTGTGAATAGGCCGGACATTACTTCACCCAGTCCAGGTTTTGACCACTATTCATAATGATTTTAGCTGTTCTTCTAGGGTTGGGTCTCCATCTTGTCTGGCTTGTGCATATTTAGGAGCATGCACCACGTGTTTTAAGTAGTGACCATCATGTGCTCACGGTTAGCTCACTGTCAGTGTGATGGTGTTCAGTTACGTAAACATCACAGGGTTTGGCCCGGTAATGTTACTTTTACAGGAAAGTGCCTCTTATCTAAACACCAACCTGACATGTAAGGCTACCATGTCTGAAAGGATCTGAAGCTGTGCGGTGCTAGATGTTTACCAGTGGCTGTGGTGGTGCTGGTGTTGCTGGTGGTGGACGATGCTGTGCTGGAGGGGTTGGTGCCTTTCTTAGTCCCCGTAACAAACTCAATCTGTCAAACACACACAATATTAGACCGTTTATATAAATCCGTATCTGATCTGTAACCCCTGCTGCTGGTCACTGAGAAGCTCCACTGAAGTATCTGGGCTGTTACGTGCCTTGCTCAAGGCCACGGTAACAGTATATACTGAGTGAGGGGGGAGGAATTTACTCGCTGCCTTTGTCTTGTTGCCGTCTCACATCAAAATCTTACTCCTCTTATGTCAGCTTTACTGTGGCCTGCATACCATTCACAGCACAGAATAATAGTGCAGCTCCTGTAGGGTACATGTTGGTTCAAGTCAAGTTTCCAACTAAGCTGCAGCTGCTGGGATGATACTGCTGCTGCTGACAGCAGCATGTAGCACTGGATTCTATCCACGTGTGCATGCTTCTAGGAGACGCCTATCACCTGTCAGTCCCCCACTGACACACTATTTAACTCTGAATAACTACTCCAGGAGAAAATAGCAAAGGCCACGAAAGCAAATCAGACACTCTTGTCCTAGAGATGTTTATACTTACAGGAAAACCCAGTGCAAATGGGCATGGCTCAGCACTGGGCTGGGCCTGAGCTGCTATTACAAGAGCTGAACTTGGCAACTTCATTTCTGCATGTTTGATGGAGGACATGAAGTAGAAATTAAGTGCAGCTGGTGGAGACTTGCCCTTGACGAAGGTGCAGAAGAGAACTGACAGAAAAATAATCCCCTCTTCTTTGTGCCAATTCTCACCTTGGTCCGCTCCTTTTTGGCTTTCTCCAGTTTGTCCATCTCCACTTTCTGGGTTTTGGCTGCAAGAATATAACTGTGTGTGAGTGCAGGGATGTAATCACACAGAACTGTGGAGAATAAATGGACGGACTTACATAGAGCTTCATAGTACGAGTCTTCTGACCAGCCGTGAGGATCAAACATATCTTTTGGGTAGTTCGTTCCCAACTCATCTATACCACAGAACTGAATGAGCTTCTCATAAATACTGCAAGAAAACCAAAGAAAGGCTTAATAAGACATTGTGTTGTTCGGTTGTGGGTCTGGGCAGAGAAAATGAATATGCTCCACAAGCACCTACACCAATAGGTTTATCTGTTATCACATGTAAATTACAGTTGGTGTGTGTTTGTAGCTATGGGTGCATGAGGTGCATACCTGGGGTTTCGAAATTCTTTCTTTTTCTGGATGTGGCTGTTCGTGTCAAAATCTCCATGGAGCTTCCTCTCATACAGCTTGTGGATCTTCTCCTGTTATAAAACAAACAAATTGCTGAAGGATGTGGACATATGGGAGGTCACCTCTCAGTGTGGGACCTCAGCTTCCTCCACACTCTGTATTTGGCAAGACACACAGTCAGTGTGTCATAAACTTCAGAGGGTATTCAGAAGCCTGAACATCCTGCACAGTCTGTGGTGGAGATCCCATTTTGAATTGATAAAATTGTTCTTTTGCTCATCAATCAATACCTCATAAGTGAAAACAGGTTTGCAAACATTTCCAAAACCATGTTTTCCACTCTGTCATCAAAGGTTTATAAGTGTAGACTGCTGGGTAAAACTGGCTATTTCAGTCAATCAAAATTAAATTTACAACATAATAAGGGGTGCAAAGTGGACCGATTACTTGGTGAGGCCACTCTATGAGACTAACTCTTCTCAAGCTAGGGTCAGTGTGAATGGAGCTATTGTATATATACTGTAGTTTCTGATACCTCGGAGAAATATTTGACAACCAGGTTCAGCTAAGCCACCGGGAGCTGGCAATAGTAGCCAAAGCATCCAGAGTGATAAATGAGAGCTAACATGGAAAAATGGAAAAAGGCAACGCTACTGTAAATGTTTGGCTTTTTAGCTGATTAAAGGCAATTAATTGATTGATCAGTTAAAACGGTACACCACTTACTTCACACATTAAAGCCAGTTTAAATGTCAAGTGGATACATAGCTGAAGCAAAAAGGAGTAAGGTCTCTTTAAACACTTTTGATCTTACTTTGCTGGAGTGAAGGAGTTCAATCAAGCATGAAAAAATAACCCTGACATTGTCTTTAATCAGAAAGACCGTTACAAACGGGGCAGGAATAGTTTGAAAAACAAACTGTCTACCAGCCAGGGCAAGTTTAATGAAACACGAGTTGCATTATGGGAAATGTAGGATCCTGGAGCCATATGAGCGTCTAAAATAACTGGAGGGCCCCGATAATCAGTGTTGACCAATAGCAGGAAACAAGGTGAGCAGAGGTCTCCCATGTCAGTGCCAAACGTTTGGCTGCCCTAATCATCCACCTGTACCTCCTTCCTATGGGGTTTTGGTGTGTTGATATGTAGTCACACTACTTCCACAACAAAATAATACGGTTGTTTCTCTGTGGACAAATTAGAGTTTCAGCTCCAGTCTCGAGCACATGGATTCTGGCAGTCAGTGTTCTTAACTCAAGCTCTGGGCATGATTACAAAAGGCACCTGGAAAGTGTTCACAAAATGGATACATTCAGTGATGCTGAAACAATCAGGAAAAAAAGCCAACTTACTGTAAAAACATTTGCAAAATCCAATTACACTGAATTCTACATGTTGATGTGCTCCTGCCCCTCTGTGTCCTGAGGGCAGGGATATCCACGCTGTTCAGGTGAATCATTAGTAGATAATCATCTGCCCAGTGGGGCAGCTGCTAAGCTGCTCACTCACTAAGTCAGCTGTGTGTCCTGACCTGCCTCAGCGCCTCACAGAACAAATATTACTGCAGTTAACCACACCAAATCAACTCAGCAAAGCAGAAAGAGAGCAGTGCTGGTGATGCAAAAGTGACAGAAGAAGACACTGCGTGCTGGTTTAATTACAGGGGTGAGTCTCAGAATGTATGTAGCTGCCAGAATTTATTTCTAAGCCCAGAGGGGAGTGAGGAAAACTTCTAGATTATCCACTTGGCGCATGGAATTGGACAAGTAGTCTCTGACTGAGGAAGCGTTCACCCATTAAAACTTTCAACTTTAACTCTTGATCTTCAAACTCTAAACTTTGTGGATCTGCCAAAGGGGCAAGTGCAGACTGTCAGTTTATGAAAGCAATATCCCCCTTTAGGAGCCAATGAGCCTTCCTATTTTAGAAAAATCCATTTATGACTTTGACTAAAAGACACAACACAGAAAACCGGGACTATTCTGTCGAGCTTTCAGAAAACCCACAACCCCACCAACATCCACACACCCTCTTCCTCTAGTCTGATTAACAGACGTGACTGTGACTTTGGTGGTGATCTAAAAACTGCCTGCGGGAGGCAATGATAGTGTGCTACAAGACAAGGTGTGCAGTGAAAGGTATGCGGTTAAACAATCCAGTAACACTGGAGGTGCGTCTACCTGCAGTTGGCTCGAGCAGCGTCCGGGGGGCTCAGGGGGGATCCTGATCTGGTCAGGTGACATGTTCCTCACCTTCTCTGAGAATAGAGCTGGCCAGAAGACAGAAACATCAACATTAGCCAGTGTATCTTTTCAACTCCTTTCCCTCTCTGCAAGTCTATACAAGCCAAATGAGGACTTAAGAAATTGGTATTGTACTGAACAAGGACAACGAAATCTGTATTAGTGTTTGAAGTAACAGATGGCAAACCAGTAGGAAGGTGGGATGTGAATGTGTGCTGGAGAACTAACGAAACAAAGGTTGAGTGAGTGCTAAGCAAACATCTTTGGTGAATCTGTTCATCACAGTCCCGAGTGGATGCCAGTGAGTTTTACTGGGCAGTCTGGTATGAGGAGTGCATGTCCTGGGCCGAGAGAGGCTGTTGTTGGGGCTTGTAAGGAGAAGGGAGTCTCCCCTTCCCTCCCTTTGGACCCATCCCTTGTTGCGCTCTCCCTGCCAGACTTGTTTCTCTCTGCTTTCTCTGACTGCAGGCCAGGCATTCTTCACTGTCACTTTGTATCCCAGACACACGGTCTTTACTGTCATTCACGCTCTGGTAAGTGCTGCAAGCTGCGTGATGTTTACATGTGCAAGTGCAGACGCTTCTGCCTGCTGACTTTCTGTGCAGAGCATCGACATGTAAAAACCTGACTGGACACAGGAAGATTATTTTCAGAAGTGCTGTCTTGGTCTTGCTAAAGAGAAAAATTCCACAGTCCCACATTCTGAAACCTCTTTATGTCAACTACTTTCACTTTAAGCTATGATTTCCAATATTTCTCTATTTCAGTAAAGCCCTGGGTAACAAACATCTATACTATAGTATGTCTGATACTGGGTTTTAGACAGATCCACTAAGGGTATATCATCCAACAGTTTGTTTGTTGTTGTTGGTTTTTTTACACAAAAAAGGATTGCGGCCACAATATGCACAGAGTGTGACGTGTACAGCTAACAAATAAACTTGTATAATAAAAATTAAAATAAACCAGTGTTTCAGGTGGACTCAGGCAGAGGCGCTCTGTTCTGCTTTCCAAGAATACAGTATATAGCATGCACCTGCAGATCACTTTTTTTATTCTGGCTTCAACATATATGTGGATATTATACCAAACATGTGTGACATTTCTGTACTGTAATGTCTGGTCACACGGACGCTTACTGACAGACCTACAATGAGTGCATCTCAGATATCATGTTGGCTCAGCTGATTTATCAAATGTATCTGACAGAAACATGTCTGAAACATACTGAAGGTTGCCATCAAACAATCTGCTCATACTCAGACAGCTCCTGTGCTGGATGTTGCCATTATCCTTGGTCTGCTGATCACGTGGGAACACAGATTCACATGTGTGCATATGGACTTGCCAGCCTTATGTCCTTCACGTCAGGAAGGTTCAGTGCGCCAGAGTGGATATGCTCGTGGTTGACCTCCCCCACCAGGGCAAAGGAGGGACAGGGCATTGCCTTTGCTGGCTAAACACACAAGTAACACTAAGCATGTATGAATGTAGGCTCCCACGTTTCTGGTGGAGAAAAAACTGAGCAGGTACACAGTTACACAATGATAAATGTCTCCATGCATTTAACTACTTTGTACACTCCGTACCTGAACACAGACAAAAACTGTAGCTGCAAACAGTAAAAAAGCCTGACAAGACAAGCCCAGTGAGTCACATGCATTAGGTGGTAGCGCTTCATTTCACACACACATGTGCCGCTGTCACAGACAATTACACATTGTAGCTGGAAGAGGGGTTTAAGCACCGTGGATACTAATCCGCTGAAGACAAGAGGAGATTTGCTTGATAATTGTGCAACCTTGCTAAACAAGCCAAAACACCAAATTTAAACACCAAAATAAACTGTAGCCTCCACAGTGGCAGTGAATGAACCACAGACTGTGTAATAAATATCCCTGTTTCTAATTCTGATCGGTAACTGCCAAATATTCTTATACAACAGCTGTGCTACCAGGAAGAATACAGGGACAGAGAAAAGATTATATTCAGCTTCAAAATTACCATCTGTCTCCACTGAAAACAGCCAGAAAGTCACAATCTGTGCCCTGAGGGTCTTTTTCAGACAGAAGCACAATGCGGTTCCCTTTAGTGAACAGACAAAGAGCTGTCTTCAGCCTTTTGCCAGACGCACTGACATTTACTGACAGACAAGACGGAGGAGCCGAGCTCTGCTGCAGGAATGTCAAGTGTCCAGGCCCGGTCAGCCGCTGCAGTCAGTGTTGTGCAAGTTCACACTTCACAAGAAATGGCTCAAAGTTCAGTTCACACACATCAAAATGAACTAGCTCATGTTCATGGTTTACAAGTTTGAATTTTATTTCACGGACCCAAAACTAAACTAGTTACTGTTCATTTTTTCTTTTTAAATGAGCTGCTCTGAGCTGTGGGAACATTTTGGCAGTCGAACCTGCTCCTACCCATCCATCACTCACCCCTAGTAGCTGCGCTGCCTGAATGGCCCCATGCACTGGCCATGATTTCCAAAAAAAGTTGCTGTAAGCAGCATTGTTTATAGTGCACCACACACACTCTGTGTGCACATTAGCTATATGTAAATATCACTTCATTGTTATTCCTGGATGTTCTTTGTCAATCAATCTCTTAAAAAAAAAATGCCAGTGAACTGAGTGTCTATGCTGATCTCCCTCCACTTATGGTTCGGCCGTCTGCTGCAGCTTCAGGGTGCGTTTGTTTTTCAAGTCTCGTGTAGCACAAGTGGGTGGTGAGTCACTCTGTGTTAACAGGATACAACGGTGCTGATGTGGAGGGTGTGATTCTAACAGAAATCAAAACAGGCAATCCTAGAATCTGGAGCAAAACTTAGAGAGAGACGGTGTCATTTTAGCACATTGCTATTACACTTATTGTCTGTATTGAATGAAGCCTTTGCTGCTCAGTTCATCACCCTGCTCGGTAACAAAATGCAAGTTCATGTTAGTTGCAAAGTGAATCGTTTAGTTCATCGTTCACACATAAATGAGCATGTTCAATGAATGGCACACTTTTAGTGTACTGACTACTGATGGTGGCTGTTCGGAAAACTAAAAATTGCTCAAGTACATTTCCTTTGCGATTTCTTTTTGAGGCTGTTAGTGGAAGAGTGGAAGTGATAATGACCGAGGGTGCAAATCTGTGGGAGTTGACTAATCTACAGCTGTCTCTCCCATGGAGCATGTTGGACGGAGTGGAAAGGGAGGCTTCTTAGTTTAGTACACTTTCAGAACACAGCGGCAACATGCGAGGATGCAAACAGACACGAGAATATTATTTTCATTCAACTCAACAACCAGTCGGATCAATAAATCATCTCCAACTTAGATTCAGTAAGACACCCCTTTCACAGTAAAATTATTTCACATGAAGGAATCATATTATTTAAATGATTAGAATCAGTTCTCTGCTCTCATTGCAACACATTATATTATTTTGCAGTTAAATGATAAATGAATATCAGTGCAGCACTGCATAGTCAGAGTTAACGTCTGCATCCAGCTACAGGCCTGTATGAACAAACAGCACAGAGGGAACTACTAGTGCCAACAGCTGGTACAGAAAACCACTCCTTATATCACTCATATCCGCTCTGATCTCGCTCACTCACTCACACACACACACACACACACACACACACACACACAGGTTCAGATCAGTCATTACTCACCAACCACTGCAGTCACCTGTATTCAACCTTCATAACCCATCTGTTAGTCAGACGGCGGACAAAGCGGCTTTTACCACTCACCTGGGTATAGTTAATGATTCATACATTTACTGCACCCACACCCAGATGACACAATCAGGAGTAAAAGCCTGATTCTTACACTGTATCCTACTTTATATTTGTATTAGTATACATGCTGATACATCCAGAAACGGGTGTTATTCTGTATGGTTCTTTATCAAACCAATCATATCCCAAGCCCACAGGTCACAATTTCACGCTGCAGTACATTAGTTCCATTTCTTTTAAAAAGGCATTTAAAAAAAGGCTCAGTCATCTCTTAAAACAGCTGGGCTCTGTAGGTTTTATAAAATGTTACTATAACAAGTGTAATTTATTACAAACCTTTTTAAGAATACACAGTTTCTACAGAGTTCATCAAGTTAAATTTAAGACTTAGTGCTATAACAATGGGAATTTAATACCTGTTCCATGATCATGTTGTGTATGAAAGTATGATGGAAAATACAACAGGGACATGGCCTAAAATGATTTATTAATATACTTTCCAGCTGTATATAACAATAATTCCTTTCCATAAATATATAACAAATCTAGACCTGAATAAACAGCAGAAAATGGATGGATGGATGGATGGATGAACTACTAACAAAAAAAGTGAAGTTCATTTAAATTTCTTGCCATCAACATTTACCCATTATTTGAGAATAACTACCAGTAGTGAGTGTTTGTGACAGGTCTGATATATAATGCCTAGGATGCAAAAACATCTTCAAATCAACACAAGAATATACTTATTTGCATTTTATATATTATACTTAAGTGTTTTTGACACCATCTAAGGGCTTTTTTAATGCATGACTTATCAAGACCTGCAGACACAGTACCTATAAGAAGTATTCACTCCCTGTTTTACCCTTTTGCTGATTTTATAAATCTATCATGGACAATAAAATGTGGCTTTTTGGACGAAAAAAAAAAATACAGAAAAAAACTCCTTTAATGTCAAAGTAAAAACAGGTTTCTACAAAGTAATGTCAATTAAATAAAAATGTAATGGGAAATAAGTGATTACATAAATATTAACCCACTTTAAAATGACTGACCTAATTCAACAGAGGTCCAACCAACTAGTGCTAGTAGTCTCACAGTTAGAGAAACGGGGATCACCAGAGTGCAGTGAATGTGTCTCAAGTGATTGTAGTATAAAGAACCCTGTGTCTGGAAGGTCCAATCAGTGGTTAATCAGTATTCCTAGCTACCATTACACCATGAAAACAAAAGAATTATCCAAGCAGCTCAGAGAAAAGGTTATTGAAAAGTATAAGTCAGGGGATGGATACAGAAACATTTCTAAGGCACTGAACATCCCCCAGAGTTCAGTTAAATCGATCATCAAGAAATGGAAGGAATATGGCACATGTCTAAATCTGACTAGATCAGGCCGTCCTCACAAACTGAGTGACCATGCAAGAAGACTAGTGAGAGAGGCCACAAGACACCTATGACCACTCTGAAGGAGTTACAAGCTTCAGCAGCTGAGATAGGAGAGACTCTGTGTACAACAACTGCTGCCCGGGTTCTTCACCAGTCAAAGCTTCTTGCTTCTTGGCAGCCAGCCCTGGAAGGCTTGTAAAGGTAGAGGGTAAAATGAACATGGCAAAATATAGAAAAATCCTGGAGGACAAACTTATTCAGTCTGCAAGGGAACTACGGCTTGGGAGAGGATTTATTTTCCAGCAAGACAATGACCTGAAGCATACAGCAAAAGCTACACAGAAATGGTTTAAAGACAACAAGGTGAGTGTTCTGGAGTGGCCAAGTCAAAGCCCAGACCCCAACCCAAGAGAAAATTTGTGGCTGGACTTGAAAAGGGCTGTGCAACCTGGCAGAGCCTGAGCAGGTTTGCAAAGAAGAATGGAGTAAAACTGTAGCGTCCAGATGTGCAGGCCTGATTGAGACCTATCCACACAGACTCAGTGCTGTGATTGCAGCTGAAGGCGCGTCTACTAAATACTGACTTGAAGGAGGTGAATATTTATGCAATCGCTTATTTCACATTACATATATTTATTGAATTGACATTACTTTGTAGAAACCTGTTTTCACTTTGACATTAGAGTTTTTGTGATTTTTTTTGTTTGTTAAAAAAGGCAAATTACATTGACCATGACCGATTTATAAAATCAATAAAAGGGTAAAACATCCAAGGGGGTGAATACTTTTTAGAGGCACTGTAATTTGTAATCCATACTTTGTACTCTACTGAGAGCTCGACAGTGCATGTGTGTTTATAATACTCACCAACTAACTCATTGGGGTCCTTTCTTTCTGCTTCTGGGATCTATAAAAAAAAAAGAAAAGAAGATGGCAGAGAGGGAAAGAAGAGAGAAACAGGATATTTTAGTCTCTTTAAGAATCTAATTACCAATCCCTGGTGGAGGGAAACAGACCCACCAACAGTGGTAGATATTACTGAACCATGTTCCACTGTGTTACGTACAGTGGATTACAGTTGGACTAGGTAACGTGAAATCTTAAAACAATCAGAGCCAGTTTGGGTGAAAACATTTGAAGCTGGAGACCAAATCTCATTCCATTTGTACCCGAAATCTATAAATCACAGATGTTAATGCAACAGACTGCACAGAACAGAAGCAGACAGGGGAACAGTTTCAAAGAAGTCAGTAAAGTCAGAACAGTAAATCTTGGCTGTTTTCAGCAAATGCCTTGGCTCGACAGGAGGAGGAGTCTTACAGAGCCTCTGAAATATGCTGCTTGTTGTGCCAGCACTGTGGGCATAACACAGGTTCAGCGTAGAACAGTGCTGTTATTATCAGCCATCATGTGGTCACCTAGCAACTGCACAACCACATTAGAAGAGGAGCGAGGACAGAAAGGCATGGTGGGAAAAAAATCCCCAAAACTAGAAAATTAAAAAAATTGGCATCTGCTTTTTGAGACAGTCAGTGAATACTCATCACTTCACTGACTCCCAGTGCAAAGTTTCTTCTCCATTTGGCCACCCTTCACAGAGAGGTCAGAGGTCACAGTGAGGCAAATACCTGCAGCACAGGAGCAGCATCTCCAAGGACTTTCTGAATATAAAATGTACATTTAGCCATCTACTTTGAGCTGTCTTTACCAAAACATGCTGAGATTATTTAAACCAAAACCTAAACTGCTGATTTGCAGCTGAATGTGGTTGATTGCGATGACACCAAATACATTGGGAAACAGAAAAGTAACATTTAAATGTTCCTCTGAATTACTTATCATTTCAGGCTCAACATAAACAATAAACAAAAATAACAGTCACATGGGGTCCATCCAAAGAGATCATTTTCTTAGTGTTTCCTTTGTGTCTGTTCTTTTTTGAGACTGTGAACAACATACGCTCACCAGCCACTTTATTAGATACACCTGTGCAATTGTATGCAATTCTATACAACACATCCTCCTTAACATCTGTGTTTATGAAGCTCAACATGTTTCAGTTTTTGTTGAAATTGTGAAATGTATAAACTTAATTATATGTGTATTATTGAGGTCAGAGTTAAAGGTGGTGTTGTACTGTACTACATTATATTCAGAAGTGTTCCTACTATTCTGAGCTGATATCATGGCCCTTTTGACCCATTTCTGTATTTGAAAAATATCTGTGACATTTTGGAAAAAAAAAGAGGACCTAGGAATCTAGTCCAGTTTTTTCAGTTTACTATGACCTGGATGACTGAGAATCTGCACAGACTCTGTGATATTTAATTCACCCAAAGTCATTTAGATTCCTCTAAATCCATCTCTAAAGGTAATCCAGATTCCTTCCTGTCTTCTAGCAGGCTGTTCCGGAAGTCATAACATAACATAAACATATATTATTTGCGGGTAGTGGGTGGGCTTATCTGCATGTATCAGATTTCACAGTTAGGTGTGACGTCACAAATGGCACAACTTCAACATCACTACTCTTAAGGCGAGAGATTAAAAATAACAACATGCAGATCACCCTATTCCATCTCAAAGCTCATTTTTTGTTTTTCCATCATACCTCTGATGACCGAAGTATCGGTTTTCCCCATTTTTTAGAGTAAAAACACTGGTCATGCTCAAGGCTAACGGGCTACAGCCATGCTAGCAGAACTATCAAGCTGTACTAGGGTGCAATGAGGCTTTCTGTTAAATGTTAACCTCAGCATGCCAACATGTTCATAAAAACAATGTTAACCTGCTGCTGTTTCTATTTGCATTATCTTTACTGTGTTCTTAATTCTTAATTTAGCATTTTAGCATGCTACAATGTGCTCATTAGCCCAAAACACAAAGTACAGCTGAGGAAATGTCATCACTTTTGTACATATGTTGTCATACATAGGAAAAAAGGGAAATCTGACTAGATAATGTTTCTAGAGCAAAAAGTAAGGGATCACCAAAGTTACTGAACAACACCCTCTAGAGTATCTGTAGCAGATTTTACAATGGTCAATGCAATATTCATCTGGATAGCTCACTCAAAACCTAAAATATAAACCTTCTGGTGATGTTACATGAAATGACAGAGCATCACTAAAGTCCTTAGAATGCATCAGGAAACCAGGAATGGCTGTAAAAAATTACAAAAAGTCTGAATACAGTTTCAAAGGCTAAAACATTAGCAGGGTAAATGTTTGGCAATTTGCAAACAGAAACTCTGTTGCTCAGCTTGAATGGAAACCTCTCAACTCAGTACATTTCCCTCCAACCCAGCTATAACAGATGTCAAAGTAATTGTGCCATGACCTCCTTGTCTATAATTAGCCACAACTGTATCAAAACATCAAGAAGCACATGCCATTCACAACTAACCAATATGATAACTTCAAGAACTAACAATGGGACCACAGAGTGAGAGCTCAAACAAACATTCATTAGCCTCAACTAATAAATCTAAATCTGCAGCAGGACGTGAACACAAAGCTCAGTCTTCTGTTGCTTCAGCTTAGAATACAAACAGACAGGTGACAAATCAAAGGAAAAACCAACATGAAGTGTCTCAGTAAGGTGCTGGGCCATCACATGCCACCAGAACAGCTTCAGTGCTCCTTGGCATTGACTCTCCAAGTCTCTGGACTCTAGTGGAGAGATGAACACCATTCTTCCAAAAGATATTTCATCATGTGTTGTTTAGATGATGCTGGTGGAGACGCTGTTTAACATGTCGCTCCAAAATCTCCCATCGGTGTTCACCTGGGTTGAGGTCTGGTGTCTGTGAAGGCCACGGCATAGGATTCACATCATTTTCATACTCATCAAACCATTCAGTGACCCCTCGTGCCCTGTGGATGGGGGCATTGTCCTCATTTATTTAGGTTTATCAATCATCTTCAGATGTGTCATTCTGTTCAGCCTCATGGCTGAATAGAAACCCTGTGCACATAGTAATTATTTAATTTTACCCTATAAGTAACACTGTTTCCATAAATGTTCTTTCTATTCCATGGAAATAATGCTCCTCGTGTCGATACATGCATTATTACCCAGTGTTAAAATGACCATTAGTTCTTTACACTGGCAGCACTGTTATCCCCTCTTTATGTCATAGCATACTAAAAAGGCCAAACAACAGCTTATCAGATTATGAAAGCAAAGTCTCAGTCAAAGCAGATCTTTTCTGACTTGCACTGTCCTGTTTGTTAGGCTTGTGACTCACTTTCAC